GCTATCAATGTAGCCTCTGAGGGGGTCAGCTCTACAATTTTCTATTTGGATCTCTGCCTCTCCTGTAAGGCAAGAGCAGATTAGACTTGATCAATAATGAATGCTTTTTGAGTGAGTGTGTGTTTCTCTCTCCCATAAAAAAGGTGGTGTCATGCTTCCTATTCAAGCAGCTTTCCTTGATTTTTGGATACCTTTAGATCTGCTTCCAACTTTCTTTTCTAAAAAAGGTTGTAGAGAGGGCAGTGGTTCTCCAATTCCAGAGAGGAAGTAGATTATTTTAATCCATAGTTGTCAGGTTTCAGGACAGAGTGTAGCATAGAAATGGCATTAGTTGCATTTGCATGTGATCAATAGAGAGACTGGGATTGGGAGACTGCAACTTTTTCTATTCTCCTTGACTCTTCATTGGCTTGCAATATCATAACCATGATAAGCTTCTAGGGATTTAGGTGGTGGGATAGATATTGTCTTGCAGGTTCTCCTATTTCTTTCAGTTGGCTATGGGAATGAGGATCCATCTAGAGACTTTTACTTTTTGAAATGCTTCAGACATCTGTCCTATCTCCACTTCTCTTAATAAATACATGAAACTGGTAGGGCAGGTCATTCATCAGTACAGGGTTCAGTACCATCCCAGGCCAAACTTGTGATGTGGTAGAAGTGCTGGTCCAGTGCCAGGAAACTGTCAAGGTCTAGATGGGGAAGAACAAATTCAAACAAACCTTCCAAGACAGAGTGGCTTCGTGTTTGTGGATCAAACAACTCCAGAGAAATACCATTTTGGATTCTGAATGGAGGTCTATCCCCTCATTCATGAATGGTTAACAATTTAGGAGCATAGACTCATAGCTCCTGCTTGATGAGTAAATATAAATATGATGTGGCTTTTGCAGAGTTACATTGTTTTGTAACTGCTAACAATTACTCATACATTACTCCCAATTGGATTATTGTACTCTATATGTTGCAGCCTTGAGGAACATTTGGAAGCGGTAGCTGGTATAGAATTCAGTGGCCTGGCAATGATGGGAATATCCCAGTATAACAGAATAACCTGGCTACCTCAGGACTGCACTGGTTGCCAGTTGGCTTCTATGTATAATTCAAGGTGCTAATTAAATTTTAAGGTCCTGCATAGGTCTGGATCTGGTTATCTACGAGATCATCTTCTCCTATATTCATCTGCCAGACTGAAGAGGGTCAAATCCTTCCAAGTTCCATTTTTTGAGTCTGGCATCTGATGAGATTATATTAAGGCTTTTACATGTTTTTCTGAAAGTAAGAGATATGCAGGATTCTGTAAGGAGAGATATTTGGAGAGGTGGAATCAAATGACCAAAGCTGCATTGCATCATCACAATGTAATCTTCATTCTTTTTGTATGCATGTCGTTGCCAGGCTCTTAAAAACAAACAAATCAAGAAAGACTTTATTGTTTCTCACCTATAGACAAAAATCTTGCCATAGTAAACACGATTACTTACACCATTAAACACACACTCCGAGAACTTCTAGGGAGGAGCTATCTTGACTCTCTCACACAATTTCACTGTCTCTTGCCTCTCTGGAATGCACTTCCTCCCTCCTGGAATCTGGACTGCATTCTACCACAGCCATGACGTATGTACCAAAAGAGGTGGAGCTTGTGTCATGATGGCCCAATACTGCTTTTGTCACTTTGATGAAAACATTGGATGTTGCAGATACCTCTGTATCAGGGTGGGTTCTACTTATCTTTACTACCGGTTCGGAATGGGATTGCGAGGCAGTGGACGGGTCCTCCCACCGGTTTTACTTTTTCTTGCGAACCAGTCCAAACCGGGGCAACCCACCACTGCTCTGTATCGGAAGGTTCTATTTTGTGTGTTAAAATTGCTACGTAGATAAAAGCCACAATTCAATGTTGATTTAAATTAACTGATTTCAGCCTGGTGGCTCAGCAGACTAAAAGCATTGTGATTAACACCAGCTGTCTGCAATTACTGTAAATTCGAATCTCACCAGGCTCAAGGTTGACTCAGCCTTCCATCCTTTCTAAGGTAGGTTAAATGAGGACCCAGTTTGTGGGGGCAATAAGCTGACTTTGTATAAATATACAAAAGCATGAAGGCTATTGCTTAACGCATTGTAAGCCGCCCTGAGTCTCCGGAGAAGGGCGTCATATAAATCAAATTAAAAGAAAAAGAAAAAAAAAAGAAAAAAAGTTGGCTCAAGCTGTAGAGCTTTAAGGTGGTTTCTATCTCCAGTACCACAGTTCTTACAACAATAATGTTTCCTCTGGCCACATGTAACAGATGCTCCGATTCCTTTGTCCCTGTGAGACCTTCCTTTGGTAATGGAGAGGGAGTAGGGAATAATCATGCTCTTTCATGCTGCCTCCAAAGACAGGAGATGGAATGTTATAGCCTTTCCAAATATCAACTCCTGTTGAGGGCTGGTTGAATTTTCCTGCCTGAGGCAAAAAAGAACCAAGATGTACATACAACTGCAGAAACAGATCAGACAGGCATTTGAATAGGGCTCAACACGGAAAACAATGGACAAGGTTTGGAATTACAGAACAGGCCTCATGGTGCATATAGACAGTTTTGTTTTCCTCATTTCTCATCACCAGTAACTGCTTTTCAGCATCTGCAAGACCCCCTTCCCCGTTTTCCCTCAGCTTCCAAAAGTAGATCTGCCATCTATATTAGTAAACTGGTTCATGAATGCCTAGCAGCCAAGCAGACTGATTACATTTCTCGTTATAATTGATTTCTACTTGTATATCCAAGATAGAAAATAGCAATAAATCATAAGAAATTTAATTTAATCAGCCTCGATATGAAATTTTTTGTTCAGAGTTACTTCTTTCATCTGCGATCTCTGAGAAATCATAAATATATTGCCAGGTGATTGAAAAAAAGCAAATATTTCTATTTTCAAAAATGGGAGGAAAAAGTCCCCAAATCCAGGTAATTCAAGCTTGTTAGCTTAATATTAATATCGCTCATCTGTGAAGCAAATTATTAAACAGTCAACTTTTGAGCATTAAAAAAAGAATGTAATACTTGGCAAGAGCCATATGCCAAACCAATCTGAACATTTCTAACAGAATGAACTATTTAAGTATAAGTGACACAGCATACCCTGTTTTTAGCAAAATATTCAACAATGTCTCCCATGAGATCCTAGTAAAGAAAACAATAAAAAGTGGGCTGCATTATGCTACCATTAAAGGCATTCATGTCAAGAAGAAGAGTAGCATCAATAAATCTTCTTTCTATGAATGCTGTTCAAAATTCATAAATTGTTTGGATGAGGGTTAGAAAATATGATTATCAACTTTGCAGATCAGAGAAAGACAGGAAGATGCTAACAATAAACATGGAGAACATTATCAAGATTCAGGAGGGTATTTATTTTGGTAAGAAAGTTAAAATCAAAATATTGGGGTCAGAGGAATCACACTGAGCAGCAATACATGTGAAAATGGTCTGATGCCTTAGTAGGTCATGAGCCAGAAATGTAATGCAGCTACTGACAATGCAAATTCAAATCTTTGATTGTATCAACAAAAGTACGTCAAGATCAGAAATTATATTTCCCCTCTATTCAATGTTAGATTGTACCCATGATATTGTGTTCAGTTGTGTTTAGGAAGGACATTGACAAATGACAATATATCCAAAGCAGTCATTATAATACGGGTCCTGAAACAAACGAACAAAAGAGGAATGGTTGAAGGCATGAGGTATGTTTAGTCTGAAAAGGAGAAGGCTATAGGAAGACATGATCACTTCTGAAGAATCTAAAAGGCTGTCACATGGAGATGGGGTAGAATTATTCAGAGTTGTTCCAGAAGATAAGACAAGACTAATGAGTTTAAAGAACAAGAAGATAGGTTTTGGCTGGACCTAAGGAAAAAAAAATAACGGTTAGATCTGTTCAACAATGAAAAAGAAGGGAAGGGATGTACTCTTTTTTCTTTGGTGCTTAAACAGAGGTTTGATACTCATCTGTCAGAGATAGTGCAGCAATGATTTCTCACTGGGCAGGAATTGGAACAAATGATCCCTTCCAAATCTTACATGTTATAATTCCATTATTTATTTTTAATCCACCGTTATTATTTTTATAAATACCATACTCCTTTCTCCTTCTGTTCACCTTACAACAATCCTGCGAGGTGGATTGGGCTGAGAGAGAGAGAGTAACTGGCACAAGGTCTCCCAGCTGGCTTTCATGGGTAAAGAGGAGCTCATGGTCTCTGGCTTTCTAGTCTGGTGCCTTAACTAACTAGACCAAACTGGCTCTTATTGAGAGATTTGAGAAAAACAATCCAGAATAGATGAACACATTTCATTCCCTTAAGCATAATTATAATTGCTTCAGGTTTTGTATGTTTGTGTGAGGACTTTCCCACTGATATTCGCAAGAGTCACTGGACAGTATGATGGGCGGCATATAAATTTATTAAATAAATCTACTGGAGCCCTTCTCCAATAACTGAAGACATTTCCCATAATATTACGCATTCAGACTTGCTACTGAGTTATCAATTGCTGCTACTATTGGACATCACATATTCCTATTAGAAAAACAATATAGCAGAGCCCTGCTTGGGGGCAGATATATACAATATTACGTTACTGCTGCTGCTTTTAGTTATATTTTTAGAACCTAGAAACTAGTGGATTGATTTCACTGAACTAGGGCTGCATGAAAATCTTGGTTTACGTAGGAATATATATATATATATATCTACCATGCCTCAACGAACAATAAAGGCTGGCCCTCAAATGCAGCTCCAATGTATTCCTTTTTTCAACCTTGAAAAGTTGTTTAGGGCTGTGGAGCTGCCTATATAGTAACTGATATTTACTAATATATCAAGAAAGGCAGAAGCAGATGTAAAGGAGTGGGGGATCTGCCGGCGCGCTTTCAAAGAGAAATAGCACCGCAGGGCTGTGGCTAAACGAGGGAACGACAACGCTGCTCCAGAGCAAGGCGTCCCGCTTCCTGGGAGTCCGGGGTCCCCGGGAGGAGCTCAGGCTCGACTTTCTTTCGGAGGAAACACGCACAAAAGCCAAAAACCGGCGCCGAGCCCGCAAGCCTGCCCCGTAAGCTCTTCCGCCAGGACTGCGTGTCCGCTCGGGGTTGCTACGGAGGTGCCTCCTTCTCCCAGGGAGCTTAGCGCGGCTTGGTATGGCGGCTCCCAGCAGCCGCTGGGCGCACATGGGTTTTCGCCTCGCGTAGGGAAAAGCGGGCGCGTTTTCTCTCTCTCTCTCTCTCTCTCTCTCTCTCTCTCTCTCTCCCCGCCTCCTTTTCCTTTCCAGGCATCGAATAACGGGGAACATGCGAGCGCTGGAGCGAGTGTTACTCAGGGGCTTCCCCAGCGCGGCGGAATCCCCGCGGTGGAAACAGAGCGAGGCGGCTTCGGCGGCAGGTAAGCCAGGACGGGCACCTTCCTTGCTGCTTCGCGCTGCCTGCCTGCTTGCTTGCTGCGGTGGCTCTTTCCACAGCTGCTCTGGATTTAGGCAGAAGGAGAGGAGGGAGGGAGGGAGGGCCTTTCTTCTTTCATTCCCCCCCCCTCCTCCTCCCGTTTCCTCTTTCCATAATACCCCTTTGGGTTTCGATGCATCCTGCCGAGGCAAGGTGTTTCCTGTGGTTTCTTAAAAAGCAGCTAATCCACCGGGAAAACTAATCCCTCCCCTGAAAGTTGGGAAGGTTTACGGAGATAGAACGGGGATGGGGATAGATGCCGTACAGGTACGGGTCTGGATTGTTGACTCTAGCTAGGCAGATACTGTGCTCATATATATATATTCTATATATATATAAAATATATTCTATTCGTGTGTGTGTGTGTACATACACAAACACATACACAGTATATGTGTATATATAGTATATACAGTATACAGTATATATATGTATGCACGTGTGTATGTGTATATGTGCATATATATATATATATATATATATATATAAAACTTATATACACACACACACATACATATATATATCTATATATCTATATTGATCTATCGATCCATATTCTAATAGAATATATTCTATTCCAGTGTATACTGGAGACTGTTCCATCCAAGGCCAAGCCCATCAGGGTCCATTCCACTCTCTCTTTTCCCTCCCTCCTCCCATAAAGAAGACAGATAATTCATGTGCCAAAGCCTCAGTGACTAATATGACTGTCATGTTGAGGTTTCTAAACCTAGATAACACCACCCTCCTTTTTTTTGCTACACTTAAGTGCATAAGAATGCTTTTTGACGTTGCATTTAAACATTTGTCTTCCTCTTTACTGAATCTGTGATAGAAATCTCTTTTAAATCCAAACTGTTCTTGATTCTTCTTGACTGAAATGAATGTATTCATTTCAGTTCTAATAGATCTAATAAACACTCTTCTGTTGGACATCAGGGACCAGTGGGATTGGAATTGGTATATTGAGTATGGCCAGTTTACAGTACTTTTGCACCAACTCTGATGACAATAATTGGATCTCAGGCTGCATTTCTAATGTATTTTTGCTTTCATAATGCAAACTTCCTCATCTACACTTTTTCCAGAGTACTAGTATTGGCAGACCTACATGATTATTGTGCTTGATTATATAATTATTGGTTTTATTGAAGATTTTCCCCTATGGGGGGAGGGAATAATACAACTTGAAAAAATAATTAATATTGCAAAAAACATTTAAGAACAAATGAAATGACAGATCAGATTTATTAGACTCCTTGATATTTATGGATGCTCTTGTTTATCCACTACTTCCTTTTGGACTTATTACTTGTTTAGTAAATATGGGATAAAAATTAGATATGACTTGTTTTCTAATAGAGTTGATAGGAATGGACATTTTTGAGAACTATATACAATTCTTTTTCCTGTTGGGAGATGTCCAAATGTCAGATAACCATGTAAAATGCAGGACACATATAAGTCGCCCACTCTCATTACTTTAATTTTTAGAAAGTGGATCATTATTGCAGTTGTTGTTGGAAGGGAATTATGAGTCCATCTTTCTAAGTAAAGCAGTCCAGAATGTCTTCACCATATCTTCAGGAAAAGAAGACACCATTGAAAACTACCTGGAAAAGCAGATACAAGCTTACCTAGATTGTTCTTCAGCAGACATTGATTCTATTGAAAGGTAAATTGTTTTGGAAAAAGAATAATGCTTTGCTTGCATTTGAACCACAATATATCCCCCCTCCAAAGCCCAATTTCAAATGATCTCAGAAAATATTCAGAATGTGTCTATGGAGATTCTCAATCACCCAGGTCATGGTTGTCCCAAAGATGCTTTTCGAAAAGGCAACTGGACTTTCTTGGTTTTTTTCCTTCTTCAGATCTGAAGAAGCTTTTTCGATGAGAAGTGAAACGTTTTCAAGGAAAAAAACAAGAAAGTCCAGTTTCCTTTTGGAAAAGCACCTTTGGGACATTCAGAATGTGTAATAATACAATACAATAAAGTATTGTGTTCAGTGTTGTTTTTTATTGGCTTCAGCTGTAACGTGGGAGTAGCTCATTCCCTCTCTGTTGTTACTATAGTAATGAAAAATATAATATGCCAAGGAGTTAGCTTCATGGAATGAATTAGGACATGCATTGTTAAGATTTGCCATAATAGAAAATTATGTTTGTTTTAAATGCCCAAAGTAGGCTTCCCATCTTGCTTTTTCCGTTTTTCTTCTATTTAGTACTCTGAGTTTCAGGAGAAATTTTGAAAGGAGATACGCCATGTTCATATCTTCACATTTGACTGGAAACTGTACCTGAAAACTTTAGTAATGTAGGGTTTCTGAGTTTTGTGCCTTTTCAGTCACTATATCCATTTGTTGGTGTTTGTCCAGACTATACTAAATGTAATTAAAATACCATTGAATAAACAAACATTCCTTGTTTATACTTCTTAATATTGTATGTTGAATTTATGGTTTGGGCTTGATATTTCACCTGTAACATTACTGAAAAGAATGAAGATGCTTTTCCCTTTAGCTTCATTCTGCTGTCTTTCAGCTGGCCGTTCTTGTACATTCAAGCCTTTGTTCTCACCAAAACAAAAAATTCACGTCAAAGATAGATGTTTTGTCTGGGTTCATGCATGACATCAAGACATAATTTGTTGAATCACGGTTTAATAAATGGCTAGTCACATGTTTCACAGTAACTCAAAACTAGGTGTGATATGAATTTTGTCTGTCACATTAGTATTTGGTGGTTTAATGATTTGAATGAATTGTAGTAATTATAGTAACTCAAGATATTAATCTTACGTCTGAAAGAACTCTTAAGGGAGACTTAGATATGAGATGTGTTGTTTTTATACACTTTCAAAGGTTCCTTTTATGCCTTGCCTAGTTGCATGATGTTTTAATTTTATTCACCATTCTGATTTAGTAGTTCTTGGTGGATTACCACAAAGAAAGGCATATGGGGAGAAACAAACTCAGACTCAACCCCTCCAAGACCGAGTGGCTGTGGTTTCCGGTGTCCCTTCATAGTCAGCTGGTTCCATCACTGACTATTGGGGGTGAGACCTTGATCCCCTCAGAGAGGGTTCGCAACTTGGGTGTCCTCCTGGACTCGCAGCTGGCCCTAGAAGATCATTTGACGGCTGTGGCCAGGGGGGCTTTTTATCAGGTCCGCCTGATCTATCAGTTGCGTCCCTTTTTGGACCATGACTCCTTGCGCATGGTCACGCCCACATCACCTCCCGACTGGACTACTGTAATGCTCTCTACATGGGGCTCCCCTTGAAGAGCACCTGGAGGCTCCAACTGGTCCAGAATGCGGCCGCGCGGGTGATTATGGGAACGACTCAACGCTCCCATGTAACACCGCTCCTGCGCGAGCTGCATTGGCTCCCGGTGGTCTTCTGGGTGCGCCACCTTTAAAGCGCTCCATGGCTTAAGACCTGGGTACTTACGAGACCGCCTTCTGCCACTGATAGCCTCCCATCGACCAGTACGCTCCCACAGAGAGGGACTCCTCAGGGTGCCGTCAGTCAAACAATGTCGACTGGCGACCCCCAGGGGGAGACCCTTCTCTGTGGGGGCACCTGCCCTCTGGAATGAGCTGCCCCCGGAGATTCGTAGGATTCCTGACCTTCGCACCTCAAAACGCTATTGTTTCACCAAGCAGGGCTGGCCTAATGCTATTTTAATGGGTTGTATTTATTTTAGCTTTTTCGGCCAAATTATTTAATACTTTTAATTCGTTTTTTAACTTTTATATTGTGGGTTTTATCTCTGGCTGTACACCGCCCTGAGTCCTCCGGGAGAAGGACGGTATAAAAATTTAATAAAATAAAAAAATAAAATATTGCCAGTTCTGAAATCCTAAATTTCATTTATCATCTTTCATTTCATTATAGACTGAAGTTTAATGAGATACATGCCCAGAGCTAGGATTGCTCTAAAGTTTCAAATGCAATAAATATTGTGGCAGTGCAACGATTCCAAACTTATTGACAGGTCTAACCCCCACCTTCCATCTTAGCCTGCTCTTCTTCCACATTAATTAGTGAAAGACAGACTTCAATTTTCTTGATACAGCCAAAATAATCATTGGCTTTTCTAGTACTTCTGAAATTTTAGGAAATTGAATTCATTGTCATTAATCAACTGTATCCAAGGATACCTGAATGGAGGCCAGAAGAGATTTCTCCTCAAGCCATTCTCAGCAATCAGGAGACTTAAAGAGGAACAATGACTTTGCTTGTCGTAAGCTGGCTGGGAAAGACACAAATGAAGATCACATGATCCTTGGATACTGCAACCATCATAAATACATGCCAGTTGCTAAGCACCCAAATTTTGATCATGTGATTATGGGATGTTGTAACAGCTTTAACTGCAAGTACCAATCATAAGTCACTTTTTCAGTGCCATTGTAACTTCAATTGCTCGCTAAATGAATGGTAACTTGAGGACTACCTGTATTTACTCAAACTGACTTTCTGCTCTTAGTCATTCACCAAATGTTTTATTTTGTCAACAACTTCTAAAATATTCTATGTAAGCTATAGGTTGGTTATTAAAGAATGACAAATTTCTGTTCTGTATTCATGTATATATAAACACAACGTCTTCATGTGTATTGCAGGCAAAGTGTGGTGTTCCTCCTTGGTGTAGGGAGCTTACAGCTGTTTGCCCAGAGCAACTGGACTGGACCTCCTGCTGACTTACAACCTCAGGATTTTCTTCCACTTGAAATACTGCAACAATATAATGAGGTATTTTTCCCCAACTCCAAATAGTTGTGTGACTGAAAAATGCTTCTTTTAGTATTAGAGAAATGGCAAATTGCTGGTTAATGTTATGCATACCTTTTTTATTTATTTCAGATTTTAAATATTAATTTAAATTTATATAAATTTATATATGATGCTAAGAAAGGAAAAGTCATAAACATAAATTATAAGTACACTATATAGATGGATCTTTGGTCTTTACAGTACATTCTCCTTCGGTTATATTTCAAGGTTTAGTTGTTAAACAATGTCACAATTCATTTATTACAATTCCTAAGTGCACTATTAATTGTTGGTGGTATGTAGGACAGTTTCTTGGTCTGTTTTTGTTGACTAGATAATTTGGATTGGATCCAGTGATGTTCTGCTGGTGGGACAGGTGCTTTTTCTGGGTGAATTCTCTGATTCTACTTAGCTTTGAATTATCTCAGAATATGCAATAGAAGGTTTAGTTTTCTTTTAACTGTACAATCCCATCATTGTCATTATTTGTCATTCTTTCTTGCTCTTAATTAATGTCATCCAGATGTGTTTTCCTCACCACCAACATTTAAATTAGATGAACACTCATTGCTGGTGGATTCTCCTTCTCTGTGAAATCTGTCTTTTGGGGAGCAAAGAGATTGCTGTTGTGCAAGGGGAAGTTAACTAATTTTGGATGTAGCCAAAGCTAGGTGACTCAGAGTAAGTCAGGTAATAGGCTATGCCAGGGCTGTCAAACTCTCGGCCCACAGTCCAGATGTGTCATGCGCTGGCCAAACCCATGCCCGGTTTAGTGAAGGGGAAAAAAGTCCCGATAAGTCACATGATGCTGCCGTGACAAAGTGAGTTTGACACCCCTGGGCTACGCGGAGCATTTGCAGGGATGGTTTGCAAAGTGCCCATTTTCAGTGCATTTTAACAGTCCCCTCCTCTAGAAAGCTTGGTCCAGCTGCTCATTTGGACCCTTGCAACCACTAGCCAACTGAGAACAGCAGCCAAACAAATGAAAGTATTTTTCCTTCAGAAAGAGCAGGTGGTCCAAAAGACAGGAAAAGAAGTATAAAGGTCCAGTGAAACAAAAGCACGACATAGGAAAGAGGCAAGAGCTCTATATATGCTGGCCATTAGCAGGAAAAAGATATCTCAGAGAAAGGGGATTTAAGACAGAACAAGGTCAAGAAAGAAACATTAATGCCTACTAGTAATAGTATAGAGTACAGCATATAGATAATTGTAATAAAATAATAGCGATTGTCATTGAACAGCAATAGTATAGAATATAGTAATTGTCATAGTTAGTCCTCAACTTATAACAGTTCATTTAGTGACCGTTCGAAGTTGGAATGGCACTGAAAAGTGACTTATGACTGTTTTTCACACTTACAACTGTTGCAGCCCATGGTCACGTGATCAAAATTCAGCCACCTGGCAGCCGACTCATATTTATGAAGTTTGCAATGTCCCGTGTCATGTGATCACCTTTTGTTACCTTCTGACAAGCAAAGTCAATTGGGAAGCCAAATTCACTTAACAACCGTATCACTAATTTAACAACTGCAGTGATTCACTTAAGAACTGTGGCAAGAAAGGTTGTAAAATGGGACAAAATACGCTTAACAACAGGAATTTGGGGCTCAATTGTGGTCATAAGTCGAGGATGACCTGTAGTAATTATCATAGTAATGTAGCAATATGAAGCAGTTACCTGTCATTTCTGAGCTGCAGACAGATGCTGCCTTTGTCTTCCAGTTGATCCAAAGGATCTCTTTGAAACTGAATCCAAAGCATTACAGCTAGTCCTCCATTTACAACGGGTCTCTTAACTGTTCAAAGTTATGATGGATGCTCCCAAAAGCTACTTACAACCCATTTTTGCAGTTACGACGGCTGCACATACGTATCCCACAGTTGCTTGATTGCGTTTTGGGTGCTTGGCAACTGGCTCACTTTTATGGTTGTTTGCAGTGTCCTGCGGTCATGCAATTGTGATTTGCATTCTGTTTTGCTTATTTCCAATGCTGGTTTCTGGCAAAAAATGCCCATTGCAGAAAATCGGTTCAATTAAACCATGGTGTTTACTTAACAGTAGCTGCAAAGAATGTCAAAAAAAAAATCAGATCTGGTTAAGTGATGCCATGACTTACAACTGTAATTCCAGGCTCAAATACCATCGTGAGTTGAGGACTACCTGTAGACATCCACTAAACTGCAGTGTTTTCACACAGATGTTGTATTGTGTCTTCTAAAATAATGTGAAGCTGCCTAATATGACTTTCTTTTTTACTGTTTCCAGGCCAGTGCATTGTCAACTGCTGTCTTAGGGATGATGGTTCTAGATGGTGAATCAATATACAGCTTGGCCTCCCAACCTATCTTGTTGATGCTGGCTAGAGTCATCCTTGTGAATTCCAGAAATAAGCTAGAAGCTATTCAGGTAAATATGAGCCACGGTGGCGCAGTGGTTAGAGTGCAGTACTGCAGGCTACTTCTGCTGCCTGCTGGCTGCCTGCAATTAGGCAGTTCAAATCTCACCAGGCTCAAAGTTGACTCAGCCTTCCATCCTTCTGAGGTGGGTAAAATGAAGGCCCAAATTGTTAGGAGCAATATGCTGACTCTAAATCGCTTAGAGAGGGCTGTAAAGCAGTATATAAGTCTAAGTGCTATTGCTAAATAGCTAGAAGCTATTCAGTTATTCAGGTAAAGAAAAACATGATTGAATAATTATTATTCTTTCTAGATTAGGAACCATTAAAAGGTCAAGGCCATATTTTTCAGGCTATTCTTCTTTTAGATGTTATTTTATTCTCTCACAGCCATAATAAAACTAATGCAAGTACGTAAATGCCAAATAATGCCATAATAAATGCCAATGTTTTGAATATTGGAAGGTTCTTTGAATTTGATTGAGTCGTTTGCCTTTGCAGCTCACTATCATACCTCATATCCTGGTGAGATTTTCTGAGTTCTCCCTGGGCAGTGACTAAACTTGGCATTTTCCGACAAAAAAGTAATTGTTCTGCCTCTGAGTTGTGTGTCATTATTTATTGATTGGTTTTATATTCCACTTCTTTGTTCAGGGATTGCTCAAGGGCGTTAATGTAAAAATACAAAGGTACAAATTAAAACAAAAGGTAGCGACAATTCAAATGGCAAATACTAAAAAAACCCCACCCCATATTTAATCTAGACTACAGGTGCCATGATCTTTTTTCAGATCTTCTCATTGTTAAACACTGTTTAACTGCCATGTGCATGAAATAAAACCAAATAGAAATAATAGGACGTGATGTTTAAAACTATATATATATATTTTCCTCACTTTTAGACATTGCCCTGGTGGACACTGCGATGTATTAATCTCCACCAGCAGCTGCTAGAAGAAAAATCACCTGAACTCTTTGCTGTTGCCCAGGCCTGTATACAAAAAGGTATAATCAACATTGTTACCAACTATTAGTGGAGATTCATTCAATTCAAAGGGATTGAATTGCTGCCCCAAAGGCTCTTATTTTATTTTTTAGGATTTTCTTTAATCTGAGAAAATCCTAGGAGCAAATGACTTTCAATGCATTTTGTTTCTGATTTAGGAAATCCTTATTCAGAGGGTCATCTTGTTTAAAATCATAGTCCCTGGCTATTCTTAGAAATGGATGAGACTAATGAATTGTAATCAGTTCTGTCCATGGATTGTCTATCTAGCATATCATCCGAGCTAGGGACTTTGGCTTCTTCCACTTAGAGGAAGCCTAAGAAAAATATCACAGTGCTTTCCTAAATGTCATAGTGTAGCAGTGGAAAATCAGCCCTCCAGATTTGTGAAATTACCATGTTAATATTAAGATATGCTGGTGGTTCAGCAATATTAAGATAATTTCTTTACATTCCTGATCAGCAGCTTTAAAGGACTATTATGATTATGTTTGTGGATGTTTGCCTTTCGATATTATTTCTTTGGGGATGTATTTTTAGCAGTGTATGGGGAGGTAGGTTTTTTTTCTTTGTTGTTTTTAATGGGGACAAAGTAGCTATGCATTTACATTTGTGTGAGAGTGTGTGTGTGTGTGATTGTGTGTAAGGAGCCATGATGGCACTATGGTTAGAATGCAGTACAGGTAGTTTTCGACTTATGACTACAATTGAGCCCAATATTTCTGTTGCTAAGTGAAACATTTGTTAAGTGAATTTTGCCCCATTTTACGGCCTTTCTTGCCACCATTGTTAAGTGAATCATTGTACTTATTAAGTGATCTGGTCAAGAGACTCTGGCTTCCCCATTGACTTTGATTGTTGGAAGCTTGCAAAAGAGGATCACGTGACTCCAGGACATTGCAATCGTCATAAATATGAGTCAATTGCCAAGCATCTGAATTTTGATCACGTGACCACAGAGATGCTGCAGTGGTTGTAAGTGTGAAAAACAGTCATAAGTCCCTTTTTTAAGTGCCATTGTAACTTCGGTCACTAAACGAACCATTGTAAGTCCTGAAGCTTACAATAGTTTACAGAGCTTACAAGCTTATAGAGTTAGCAAGAGTTCTATCCTAACCAGCTCAAGGTTGACTCAGCCTTCCATCCTTCTGAGGTCAGTAAAATGAGGTAACCAATAGGCTGACTCTGTAAACTGATAAGAGAGGGCTGTGAAGCACTGTGAAGCAGTATATAAGTCCAACTGCTGTTGCTATTGTCTTTGTGTCATTATTGACTCCTGGCAATTGCCTGGATTGGTCCCTGCAGTTTTCTCAAGAAGGCTTTTTGGAAGTGGTTTGCCATAACCAGCTTCTCAGGGCTGAGAGACAGGCACTGGTCCAGCTGTGTTTGTGCTTAAGATGGGAATAGAATCCTTATTCCCCCAGTTTTTAGCCTGATGCCTTAACCACTACCTCACACTGGCTCTCAGGTTTTTGTAGTGTGTGTCTATTTTGTTATTTTTTTTAAAAAAAGAAACATTTTGGGTAGCATTGGTAAGATTTTTGGCAGAGTAGAATACTATGGCTTGGTGCAGTATTTGTGCAGAAAGATCTTTGATACAACTTGCTTTGTCTCTGTGATGTTGAGTCTCTTTCTCAGCAACATCACTTCCCTATTTATGGAATTAAAAATGATTGTGCTTTGTGGGACCAAATGTGCAATTTCATAGTTGGAAACCTAATTCTCACTATTTCCTTAAGGATGAGAAGTTTGGTGGAGAAGGCAAGAAACAGAATCCATGCTAATTTTCAACAGTCTTATTTTTAGCTGCATTTTCTTTGCTGTTTTGACTTGGTAAGAACATCCAGACAAACCAGAAATAAGCCAGAGATCTGCTCCTGGACATAAAAACATGATTAAAACAAGTTGAGATTTATAAACTCAAGTCCAAAAGGAAGAAAAAAAATAAAAAGTATGATTTGAGGTTCAACCAATCCCCTGTTAAACTGATGAAATCCTGGATTAGCATTCTATGTAAACCAGGTCTGTTCTGTATCAAATTAAGCAATATAATAAGGCTGTGCAGTGTTCCAATTTCAAAGGGGAAAACTGATTTAGAGTATGCATATGTGCGCATATTGCTTCTCCTTAAATCAATGGCTTCTCCACCGTGATCTTATGAGAAGATACAGGTCCATTAACAAATGGCTGGCAGGTACAACATGCATGCCTATGTGCACTCTGAATTTTAAAATTGGATCACTGAATAATTATCCACTTACATTTCCTTAGGCTTAAAAGTGCTGCAAGATCAATTCAAAGACCTATCTGCCGTTTCCTATAGTGACCGAGAATAGCATAGCATAGCATAGCATAGTATGGCATAGCATAGCATAGCATAGCATAGCATAGCATAGCATAGCATAGCATAGCATAGCATAGCATAGCATAGCATAGCATAGCATAGAATTCTTTATTGGCCAAGTGTGTGATTGGACACACAAGGAATCTGTCTTGGTGCATACGCTCTCGGTGTACATAAAAGAAAAGATACATTCATCAAGAATCATAAGGTTCAACACTTAATGATAGTCATAGGGAAACAGTCAATATAAATCTTAAGGATACCAGCAATGAGGTTACAGTCATAAGTGGGAGGAGGTGGGTGATAGGAACAATGAGAAGATTAATAGTAATGCAGACTTAGTAACTAGTTGGACAGTGTTGAGGGAATTATTTGTTTAGCAGAATGATGGCGTTTGGGAAAAAACTGTTCTTGTGTCTAGTTGTGCTGGTGTGCAGTGCTCTATAGCTTCGTTTTGAGGGTAGGAGTTGAAACAGTTTATGTCCAGGATGCGAGGGGTCTGTAAATATTTTCACTGCCCTCTTTTTGACTTGTGCAGTATACAGGTCCTCAATGGAAGGCAGGCTGGTAGTAATTGTTTTTTCTGCAGTTCTAGTTATCCTCTGAAAATAGTAACATACCAAAATTGATCCCATTTTGGCTTATCTCAAATCAGTGATGATTTGCACAAATAACAGTGTTCAAGATTGGATGTTGGTAAGTGTTGTGACTCCGACCCCTGAGCCCATCTTATCAGAGGGAGAAGGCTCCGAAAGTGAAGGAGAGGAGTTGGCCAGGCTTCCCTCTCCAGGACCCTCCTCTCTGGCAATGCCTCGGGTGTCTCCTGAAGGAGAAGAGATTGGCCAGGAGCCAGGTATCGCCGAGCAGTCGCAGTCGGACAGTGACGGAGATAAGTCTTGGCTGGATCCACGCCAGCGTCGGAGAGACAAGCGCACACAGCAGAAAAGGAGCCGTGCCAGAGATTAAGCTGAGTCACTGGACCACACCCCACAGGGGATAAAAGGGGGTGTGGTGGCCTTTCAGGCTCTGTGACGGACAAAACTAAACAACTAGCGAGTCGCATTGTATCTCTGAAACTGCCTGCCTTGGATTTAATACGGACTGGACTTGACAATTCTTTGACTTTGTGTATTTGTTCTGGTTTATCTGACGGAGGAGGAACACCTCCCTCTGTCAGTAAAGTTCTTGGCAAGCAGCCACTGGGTTGCTGCCAATCCTGTTATCGAAGGAATTTATTGTCTGCAAGTTTTATTTAACCCCTGGCTGACTGTTTGTGTGTGTGTGTGTGAGAGACGGGGACAGAACACCAATTCTTAAACAGTTGATAAAAGACTCTGTGTGGCCTCATTATATGGGTGGGAAATATATTCTCCTTATGTTCTGCTTGCAGGATGATAAATGTTAAAAATTGCCTTTCTTAAAAAAATAAGATGCTGCTACTTGAGGTAATGTACCATTTACTTGTTTATTTTTCTTTTTACAAAATAACATTAATCCTGATTTAAACTAAGATGTAGTAATGCTGACTAATGCTTCTATGAAGGCAAATTAAGAAATAAAGCAAATTAGGTTTGCAAGATAATACATTATACTTTAGACCAAGAATTCTCATATTCAAAAACGTATTATCATAACCATATTAGATTTGTCAGTATACTAAGCATCTTTTTATAGAAATTACATCATTGCACTATTACTAATATCTTGTGACTTTCATTTTAAAAACATGAAACACTTGTTTCATAAATAGAAAATATTTAAATCAATCTCTCTCTCTCTCTCTTTCTCAAAAAATAAAAATAAATCCCTTCTCACCCTGTCTGTAGTATGTGTCTTCTTCAATCTTGGGTCCCCTTAGGCCTGGGAATTTAAGGGTTCTGTGCAGTACCTTAGCTGTTCTTAGCACTTAACTCTTCTGAATGCTCTGATGTTGTTCCTGGGATCTCTTGAAGCCCCTCCCTTGGCATATGAGTTACTGCTGATTGAATTAAAGACTTTTCCTAAAGTCAATCCAGGCTCTTCTCAGATTGGTGTCTAGACCTTGAGTCTTGGGTGACGTGTCTATCTCTGAGCAATTGGTGTTTTCAACCTCTGATACTGCTCCCAATGCCATTCTGAGCTGTGTTCATGTACTTGATCCGTATGGTCCTGTGACTTGGTTATTATGATGCCTGATAGGACTTCTCATGTTGTGGGGAGGCTAGTTGTCAGCTGGTAGTTGACAGAAACTGTTCCCTTGTGGAAGTCTTTCATGATCAGTGCTGACTTTCCTTGTGTTAGCCTATTTGGGTGGGAGCTTGCTGCTAGAAGCTGGCTCATCTGTGCTGCTAGGCATTAATGTGCTGTTGTTAGTTTCTTTAACTAGGAGATGTGGATCATGTTCAGCCCAGGTGCTGCCCAGTTTTCATGTTCTTGATCTGTTGTTGGATGTCTGCTACTGTGGTTGTGAGTGGTTCCTCTTCTGGGGGATTGCTGTGATCTGCTTTCAGGTCCTGCAGCCACTTTGACTGGTATCATGTGTCTTCTCTTTCTCTCATGTGTTCTTTCAGTACTGTTCAGTTTCTGCTGTTGGTGACTTTGCTGTTACTGTGGTGTTGTACTGCAGTTGGAAGTACACCTTGGATGGTTCTTTAGAGATCAGGACATTTATCTTATTGGCCTCTGCTTCTTTAGTGTATCTCCTTAGTTCAGTAACCAGTGCTATGAGTTTTTATTTAGCAGTCTTTAGGACTCCATATAAGGATGGAGTCTTATATTTTTTCAGTAGGTGAGACTATTTCCTTAATTTCCATACCCTTCTATAGTTCTACAAGTTGATTAATTACTCTGAGTTACTTTAATTTTAGCCTTTAACCTCATTTCCAGGGACGTTATATACTATTGTTCTTGATCGTTGTTCTGCCCCAGCTACGGACCCCAAAGAAAGCAGCACATACAAAGTCCGTTCAAACTTTAGTTTACTGAATAAATCAGTCTTTTACAACAACGGCTGTTAATTAATTGCATTAACAGCTGCCAAGAATTCAAAGAATAATAACTGAAAGCTTACTATGGTTGGCAGAATGCCCAGAAGCAATTTGCAGGAAGCTGATAAAATAAGCAAGACAAGACACGAAGGTATGTGAACGAAGTTGTTCCCTGCAAATTGCTTCCATCGGCGTTCCTCTTTAAATAGGCTAAGGGAGTGGCCAATTAACCCCAAGCCTTACTCTCGAAGAGACCTCTTCCTGCCTTTTGGCAACTCTGCACACCCGTGCATCAAGAAGAGGCTCCTCCTCTTTGTCCTCTTCACTTAACGGAGCTTCTGGAGGTTCTGAAGGCCCTGGCTGAATCCTCGCCTCTGGCACCACATCTTTTCCAGCCTCCTCATTGTCTGACTCGAGTGCCAGCTGTACAGGCTGCTGGCGCTGCACAAAACCAGCCTCCTCGCTGTGGGAATCAGCTGCACAGGCTGCTGACGGGCCACAACAATCGTATAGCCAAGCATCTGTAGGGTTACAGCAGCAATAGCATATGCCAGTTCATTGATTTGAGTTACAGTGGAGCTCTGTTGGCATCTTCTAGCATACTGTCTGATGGTACTTCTCCCCTGAGTCTTGGTAATCAGTTTTGAGGATTGGCTGCAGCTATTGTAGTTTGTCCAGGAACTTATACCTCAAAAGGCAGCTGTGTTTTGTAATGAAGGGGGAGGCAGAAATGTTGGCTGCATAACATGTGGCTGCTCATGTGGTTATTGTTCCAGGTCATCTTGAGTCCAGTATGTAATGTATAGTTGGTCTATCTCAAATTGTGAATGCAGCTTGCTGTTCACTATTTTGAAGCTTTGGTTAACCAGCTGTCTCTCTATTAGTGTGTTTGTAGGTCTTCCACTCATAGGTTTCGTATATCCCCTCTCTCATTAGGTTTACTGTTGTGGTAGCATTCTATCAAATCCAGGTTCTCTTGTCTCATCCATGTATGGTTTGTTTCAGAAGCCCACTAATTGTCAGATTGTCCTATTTTCCAAATGTCTGATGCAGACCTTGTTAATCTGGGCGGTGACTGAGCTGGCATGATTCTCTTAGTTCAAGTCACAGTGATATTTGAAGTAGGCAGGCAAAGTAAGTACCACCCAGGATTTGAACCTCAGTCTCCTGCATCGAAAACTGGTGCTCTTATCACTACACTATCCAGCTGATGTGTGTGTGTGTGTGGTATGCATACCCATCCAGCTCCCCTTTAAATTTGAAAACAGATACAAAGCCATATGTTTTCTATTCTCTGACTACAATAAAATTTTATTACTCTTTATCTTATCTGTGTCCTTGACCAAATGCTTATGAAAATTTTTTTAAACCCTTTAAAAATAAATTGCTTTACTTCTGGGAAAACAGATTATTTGGAGATGAATGTATGCCTGTAATTCATCCACTCTTTTAAATTGTTCTAAAAATAAACCTTTTTTCATCTTCTTAGAGATGTGAATTTTATGTCAAGTGTCAATTCTTAAGACTATTTTTTTTTAAAAAAAATACTGCTTCTGGTACAAAGGATTGCATGTGGGTTGAAGAAAAAACTCTAAGCAGGACAATAATGCCTTTTTTTCAAGGTTGTCATTTTTTGTCCAATAGAGCAATGAAGACGTTTTCGGTTATTGATTAAGACTGACATTAGGAATATTACATATGTTGAACAGATTCTTTTTTTCTCTCCCTTCAGTTTTTCTCCCTTCCATTCACCTTCGCTTATGATTATATTTTATCACTGATATATTGGTCTCTTCAGGGCTGAAATGTAAAATTTGTTACTACCGGTTCTGTGGGCGTGGCTTGGGGGGGTAATGTGACTGGGTGGGCGTGGCCAACTTTTTTTTAAAAAAAAACTTTTCAAAGCATTTTTTCTAATGCTTTGAAAAGCCTCTGCCGATCAGGCAACTCATCTGGGATCGTCAGAGAGGCTTTTTTAAAAATGTCTCTCTGACGATCCCAGCTGAGTTGCCTGATCGTCAGAGAGGCTTTTTAAAAAATGCCTCTCTGATGATCAGGCAGCTGAGCTGGGATCGTCAAAGACTTTTCAAAGTATTTTTTTTACCACCTCTTTGGCCAAGAGGTTGCAGAAAAAAATGCTTTGAAAAGCCTCTGATGATCCCAGCTGAGCCGCATGATCATCAGAGGCTTTTTTTTTAACTTTTAAAAGCATTTTTTCGTCAGAAGAGGTTGTAGAAAAATGCTTTTAAAAGTAAAAAAAAAAAAAGCCTCTGATGATAGTGTGGCTCAGCTGGGTAAGGTGGGTGGGTGGGAGAGGGGGGGCGCAGGGATTTTTGCTACTGGTTCTCCGAACCACCCGCCGCCATCGCTACCAGATCGGGCGATCCGGTCCAAACCAGGAGCATTTCACCCTTGGGTCTCTTCTATACTCAGAATTGTTTCCTAGATTAATATTTGCTCTGAAGTTAATTGTACTTGTCATTTTCTGAAACCAGGTTTAGAGAACCAACTTCAGACCAACTACCAAGCATCATAGTCACTGGTTTTGGTCTCAACAAATAAGGATCTCCATCTCTCAGAGAGAGAAATGTTTGCCCTTAAGCAAAAATCTGTAGTACATATTGGAAGGAGAAAGATGGAAATAGGGCTAAGAGTTAAATCATCTACTCAAATATTTAAAGTTATACAGAAAAATGGAATGTGGATTTGAATAAGATGGTATTCAAACTAGGTCTCAGCAGGTCCTAAGGCGGTTACAGACTTTATAGTCTTATAATGCTGACCATCAAAAGTTAAAACAGAAAATAAAGTGTGTGTGTGTGTGTGTGTGTGTGTGTGTGTGTGTGTGTGTGTGTGTGTCTTGGCTATTTATGTATCATCTTTCACCAGAGGTTTGGAGGTTGCCAAATTGGGAAGTTTGTAGTTAAAACTCAGTGTATGAAAATGCAGATTAAGCAGGTCCGCTTTCAATTTAAATTTAGTTTATTTGCCTAGGGAGTAGTGAATCTGGTATGTATTTTTCTGCTTTTTGTTATGTTTTCTTCACATTCTGTTTCTTAATCTTTCTTTTCCTTTTTTCCAGTTTTTGAAATTGAGACTTTATTCAACGATGATGAATGTTGGCATCTTGCTGTTCAATTTCATCTAGAATGTGCTTACACATTTCTGAATTATTACGAGTATAAAAAAGCCAAAGAACATTTCCTTGCAGCTAAAGACATAACTAAGTTACAGATTGAGTTGACAGGTATGTTCTTTTCCAAGTTCTTGAATATTAATCTTTAACCCTAACTGTGTCTGCATCACTTGACAGTTTAAAAAAAGAAAGAAAATGGCAAAACACTGAAGAGGGCAACAGTCTCTATAATACTTGTGGTGTGCCTCTGAGAAATTCTAGATTAGTTTCAACAGTTTACTAAAATTGCAGTAAAAATTTGGTACTACAGTGGTTTAAAGCACCCTGTTATTAACACAGCTGCCTGCAATTTACTGCTGGTTCGAATCTCTCCAAGGCTCAAGGTTGACTCAGCCTTCCATCCTTTCTAAGGTAGGTTAAATGAGGACCCAGTTTGTGGGGGCAATAAGCTGACTTTGTATAAATATACAAAAGGATGAAGGCTATTGCTTAACGCACTGTAAGCCGCCCTGAGTCTCCGGAGAAGGGCGGCATATAAATCAAATTAAAAAAAAAAAAAAAATCTGTGGAAGGCTGAAGTCTTATACACGCAGGGGGATTTCCTATTGCTATCATGTGCTCTCTCAAATCTGTCATGGAAACACTTTGGAGTAAATTTTGTGGCTATGTGAGTTCTGTAATAGAAAATGGCATTTCTCCATCCCTCCTTTGAATTGTATTGATTTGCTAAATTTGCATCTTATTCTTCACCAAAAGATGGACCAATACACCAACAAAACAGCAATAAAAGGCAAATAAAATAAAACCAAAAGAGGCACAAGCATTGCAAAAATTAATAAAAACTATTTATAGCAATAACTTTGCATATAGTTTCTTGACTCATAATCTAATTTAAATGTGTTTAAATGTTGTTGAGGGGAAAGTTGTTAAAAGACAGGTAGCTGATCTCTTGACAGGGAAAGTTTTCCCTTGAATCTCTGTCTCAGATGTTTGCAGAACCTTAAAGCGGAATAGATTCACTTAAGAGAGATTGAATAGAATCTCATTCAGAAAAAGTAAGTGTTTTTAGATCTCCATACCACCTCTTTAATCATCCTGTGCAGGGGTGGATTCTACTTACCTTTATTACCGATTCTGCCGCGCGCAGATGCTTCCTGATGACATTGGGGTCAGTGGTGGAGCCTCCCACCAGTTTTACTACCGGTTCTTGCGAACCGATCTGAACGGGGGGCAACCCACCACTGATCCTGTGTAATAGAACAGAAGTCAGAGAAAGCAGAAAATCCACCTTACATTTATAGAAGCTTCTGCTGAATCCAGGCTCCTTTCATTAATGGAAGGGAACCATCCAGCCCTTTGTTTGGAATGTAACAAACATAATTTCATACATGGCATTGTGACTTCAAAGTTGCAAATTTTCTAATTTTTCCAAAGTCTCTTTGATTGAACCCAGTATTTATTATGAAAATTCCAGCACTATAATAAAAAACTACAATAAAACACACCTATACAGAATCTGTTCTTTCTTGGAATTTTTTCCAAAGATTAATGAGTTTAATGAAGTCCCCATAACCCAGTTTATGCCATTTATCTTCATTGACATGCAAGACAGATACCCTGTCATAAGAGCAATATAATGTGCATTGCATATTTCTAGTAGGCCTGGAGAAGAGGAATGCTATTGTGAAAAACACCATTGGAATAATAATCCACACACTTATCTGCAGTCTGTAGCCTCAAAAACCCTTGAAAACAAAATTAAATCTTAGAAACCGAATTGAACATAGCAAGATTTTGCCCTGCTATGTCACACCTAAGTTGCTACACATTATGTTGACAATGTTGTATGCTCTAGTGAGAGTTTTGAAAAGCATGGGTACGTAATTGTGTGCATTGCATTTGGCCATTGACAGCCATTCTGCACTTTATGGCTGCCTGATACAGAAGGAAAACAGCATTAAGGATAATAGCCAAAGAGTTTCTTTTACAGGAAACTCAAAAAGAATATGCACATTTCTCTAAGGTGTGGTCCACAGGGAAGAAAAGATGGAAAATGGGAAGGATTAGCATGCACAAGAGAAACTATGACAACATGCTACCAATACAACTCATTAACCAGAAGATAGGGTTGGAAGGCTAGAGGTGTGAATTAAGTCTCAGGGAAACAAATAAGTGTTTTCCCTTCAAGTGCTGAGACTTTAATCCTCATTTGAAAAGCTCTCCATAATCTCATCTATAGCAGAAGGTATAGAAGAGGTGTCATTGGTTCCAGTTTGTACCTGATCTGCCTCCTGCATTGCATACAGCCTGTCCCACCAGGCATTCTTGGCAGGGCTATCAGTGTCAATTGACTTTAATATGGCAGAGAGTAGAGTTTATGACTCCAACTAAATGACTTCCATTCTCTCCTAACAGAGTTCAATTTTAAGGCTATCTGGAAGAAGAATAGCTTTAGCTGTGCAGAAATAATCACATTCTAGTAGATCGCGATGTATTAATATAGAGCCCAGGCCACAGGAAGTAATTGTCCCATTATACTTTGTCTTGTTGAGGGCCCATTTGGAATAGTTCAGTTCTGGATACTACAATCTAAAAAGAATATGGACAAACTGGAATACATTCAGAGGAGGATTATTAAGATGGTCAGGGGCTGAAAACAAAGTCCTGTGAGAAACAAAGAAGATGCGTGTGTTTAGCCTGCAGAAAAGAAGATTAAGGGGAGATGTGACAGTGGTTTTGAGACATCGAAACAGTTGTCATGTAATGGAGGAGCTGGACTTGTTTTCTGCCACAACCAGAACAAATGGACTAAAACTGGATGGATTTAGGTTGGATATAGTGGAAGAGATTGCCTTATGAAATGGCATGTTCCCCTTTACTGGAGGTTTTTAAAGAGAGGTAGAAAGTCATATATTTGAAATGTTTTAGCTGATTTTACACTAGGAAGTTGGACTTGATCTCTGAGGTCCCTTCCAGTTTAACGATTCTGTGAATATAGTTTTTTCACCCAGTCACTACCAACAAAATAGCAAAGTTGGTTTAGCAATATGCCTGGAATTCTCAAACTTGCATAGACATGTAGAGAGATTCTTATTTTCTGGCACCTTTTCTAATTTACCTTGAGTATGAAATTACATCTGGATGCATTCTGAGACGTGATTGGCTCCAGTATAAAAGAGCTAATGTATTATAAAAATAAGTAGTTTTTAATGTAACACATCTGTAGACGATCACATGAAATCTATCTTCTTTCGTTTACAGTGGGAAAAGCAGATAATTTTGCATAGACACTTCTTTTGCACTGCATTTATTATGGTTATTTCTGATATTCCGATGAAATATTTTCTTCTTCCAATATATCTACTGGTGGTTTGTTGATATTTTAAAAAGCTTATTTGCTGAGCCTGAAGCTAAATAAGATAGATGTGCCTTTATTCCCAGCAGTGTTTCCGGTGTGTTTAAATTGTAAAATTGAATCATATATCATGGATGTTGATATTTGTAGAACAATGGCAATAGTTGAATTTTAAGATATAGTGATTTAGATAGTATTGGAATGAGTTTGATCTTTAGATACTCATTATTAAATAGAAGCAATGCTCTGTAGGCATTCTCAACCTTTTTAGTCTGCACCAGAGGTGGGTTTCAGCAGGTTCTGACCAGTTATGGAGAACCCGTAGTGGAAATTTTGAGTAGTTCAGAGAACCGGTAGTAAAAATTCTGACTGGCCCCGCCCCCATCTATTCTCTGCCTCCCAAGTCCCAGCTGATCGGGAGGAAATGGGGATTTTACAGTATCCTTCCCCTGGAGTGGGGAGGGAATGGAGATTTTACAATATCCTTCCCGTGGAGTGGGGTGGGAATGGAGATTTTACAGTATCCTTCCCCTGCCATACCCACCAAGCCACGCCCACCAAACCAAACCACACCCACCAAACCACACCCACAGAACTGGTAGTAAAAAATTTTGAAACCCACCACTGGTCTGCATGCATATTTGGAATGTCAAGAGTTTATCGTCAGTATTCTCACAAAATAGCTGCAAGAGGATGGAGAGAAAACATCTATTTAGTGGCATAGAATAGTCTCCTATTAGAGAAGGAGAGGGAGAGCAAGAGAGAGAGAGAAAACTAGGACACCTACTGAAGATTCCAGGTGTATTGCTAATAGAAACTCAAACACACTTCAGTAAATAGTTTTTGGATGTATATAGTAATTTCTTGGAACTGAAAGTGGAAAAATATAGATGTCCAGATTATAGATGTCCTAATTTCATGAAAGGATCACTTGTGGCCAGGAAACAGACAAAAAGCATCAGTTCCAAAGTTATAGTCCACACCACTCAAGGTTCCAAAGAGCACTGAAGCACTGAAAAATAGATGTCATATTCAAGTACAAAATAACTGATCACACAGGCTTGCAATCAGAGGATGTTACTGACAGAAATGAGCTAGAAGGGAAGTATTTTATGTTTGAGTATATTGTTATGTCTCCATTCTTGATGATGCCTAGCTAACTAGATGCCCACTTATAGCCATTCTTTCCTAATGGGCACTTTTGCAATTTTATTGTATGTAATGTTTGTGTGACAATGGTATATGAAGAATAGCAATAGCACTTAGACTTATATAGCACTTCATAGTGCTTTACAGCCCTCTCTAAGTGGTTTACAGAATCATCATATTGCCCCCAACAGTCTAGGTCCTCATTTTGTAAGGCTCAGAAGGATGAAAGACTGAGTCAACTTTGAGCAGGTCAGGATCTAACTCCTGGCAGTGGGCAGAGTCATATTGCATAGAATGCAATAATACATTCTAACCACTGTGCCACCAGGGCTCCTCAGACAGCAGGGAGAAACAGCAGGGAGGGAGGAATAAAAAACAAAAAGAAGAAAGGAAAATCCAGAAAATAACACCATGGTCTTGACTTAAGTAACAAGTATGAACTTGTCATTTTTACTTAGGTAAATAGAAACAAGGTTAATTGCTGACAAATGGTAGAAATATCATTTAAGGAAATTAAATTACCTTACATGGAAATTACCTTAAAGTCATACATTGCGCAAAATAAATAGAACTGACCTTTATGCCTTTAAGAATATACATACTCTAC